AACAATAATATATTGGTGTATATAGACCAAATCCGAGTTAGAATCACTTATCCCAATATCTTTCCTTGAAAATCTATCAAAAATCGTCTCTGCTCAAGCTCCAGTTTGTTAAAAATGGCGAATGGGACGAATGCCCTCTTTTATAAATCTGCCCAGGCAGCCTTCAGAACTGGGCCTCGATCGTGGCTTCGATCATGTCTCTCGAGCCTAGGCCTCGATCGTGGCTTCGATCACAGGCTCGAGCCTGGACCTCGGTCATGGCCTTGATTATTGCATCGAGCCTGGTCCTTCGATCATNGCTGGGCGTTCGATCATGGCATCAAGGCTGGGCCTTCGATCATGGCATCCAGACTGGGCCTTCGATCATGGCCTCTATCATGGCATCGATCCAGAGCCTCATCTCTGGCTTCGACCCTGGGCTCGATATCTGGGCTCGATCTTGGACTTGATCATAACCCAGAATATCCAGCAGAAGAGGAAAATTGCAGCAGCTTTTTAAGTCCAATCTTTTGATCCGTTAACCATCCGAAACTCACTCGAGTCACTCGAGACCTCAACCAAATATATCAACAAGTCCTAAAATATCATACGAACTTATTTGAAACCTCAAATCACATAAAACGACGCTAAAATCGCGAATCATGCTCCAATTCAAGCTTAATGAAACTTAGAATTTCCAACTTCTACATTCGATGTCGAAACCTATCAAATCAAGTCCGGCTAACCTCAAATTTTGCACATAAGTCATAAATGATATAACAAAGTTATGAAAAATTTTGGGACTGGATTCCGACCCGATATCGAAAAGTCAAATCCCCAGTCAAACGTCCAAACTTAAATTCCTAATGTAGCCATTTCAAACCTAATTTCACTATGGACTTCCAAATAAAATTTCGATCATGCTCCTAAGTCCAAAATTACCATACAGAGCTGTTGGAATCATCAAAATTCTATTCCGGGGTCGTTTGCATATAATTTAACATCCGATCACTATTTGACTTAAGCTTTTAAAACCTTTAATTTTTTTATCAAAATTCCATATCTCGGGTTAGGGACCTCTGAATTTGATTCCGGGCATACGCCTAAGTCCCAAATCACGATACGGTCCTACCGAAACTGTTAAAACACTGATCTGAGTTCATTTTCTCAAAATATTGACCAAAGTCAACTCAATTGAGTTTTAAAGCTCTAATTCACATTTTAATCCATTTTTCACATAAAAACTTTTCGAAAAATTTTACGGACTACGCACGCAAGTCGAGTAATGATAAATAGTGATTTTGAGGGTCTTAGTACATAGAATTAATTATTAACTTTAAAGATGACATTTTGGGTCATCACACCCTCATATATCTAAATTGTCTTATGCCTTGTTGCCTTATAGTTTTGTATTAAATGTTGCCCTCATTGAAGTAGTTTCACTTGCACGTATTGTTAAAATGTTGAGTTGGTAAAGTTGAGACATTTGAGTAGTTCGAGTTTCTTTGATTTTCATGTTATTCTCCATTGCCGTACGTTTGTTCTTTGATGTATGATTTCTTATAAATGTTAGTTATTGAGTTACTATTGTTAATTGACATTATTTGGGGAGCGGGTTGCACGCTGTAACGAAAATTGAAAGCTAATGAATTAAAAATGTGGAATAAGGATGGACTATGATAGTGAAAGATGATTATATGGAGGGGTCGGGTTACGCGCCGCAGCGAATTTATTTAAAGTTTATATTATGGGATCGGGTTGCACGCCGCAACATGTTGATAAAAGTTATATTTGTTGTGATTGTTGATTTGGCCTCGGTTGTTGAGATGAGTTATATGACCGGTTATTCGGGACTCTCTACTGGTTGATTTGAGTTTCATTAGTATGAGTTACCTGCTTTACTTCTATACCTGTCTTTCTGTTATTATCATAATTATTGTCTACAGGTTAATGTAAGTGACCCGCCTTAACCTCGTCACTATTTCGTCGAGGTTAGTCTCGATACTTACAGAGTACATGGGGTCGGTTATATTCATACTACACTCTGCACTTCTTGTGCATATACCGGAGTTGATCCCAGCGGCATACCGTAAACTTGCTCGGATCTAGCTACCCACAGGAGACTTGAGGTATAGCTGCACAGCGTCCACAGTTTTGAAGTCCCCTTCTACTTCTTTAGCTGTTCATTTGATTCAGACAACTATGTTTACTTCAGACCATTATTTGTAGTATCATAGACGCTCATGTATTCGTGACACCAGATCCGGGGTTGTATTTGAATTTCGTCACTTATTAGCTTATTTATCTCATTTCAGACTATTCAATTTCTTTATTGTCATCGTATTTGAAGTTTGTTAAAAATAGTTAATAAATACATCTAATGTTGGCTTACCTAACAAATAAAATATTAGGCGTTATCACGGTTCCGAGGGTAGGAATTTCGGATCGTGACAATACGGTTTTGTCTCTCCGATATGGCAAAAAATCTAATTGAATGATTTTAGCAAAGTCATCCTTCTATATCAGTCCGTCCGGTGAGGGCTTGCGATTAAGCGAAAACACCCCGATGTTGTCTGTAATATTTTTATTTCTCCGATATGGTGAGAAAACCGGTTGGATGATTTATCTACTTTATATCAAATTCATCTTTCTATATCTCATATAGATTTAATTGATTTTTTTTTTTTTTTTTTTTTTTTTTTTT